ATAACAACGTCAGCATGGGGAGATCCATTCATCATTTATCCAACAAACATGTATACAAGGTTCCTGTGCCAGGTACCAGGGGTACAGTGGTAAACAAAATAGGTGGGGTCCCACCCCTGCGTCATCTTTAATGCTTGTGATTGTGTCCTGTTCTCTTGGATGCATCCCTTGCTAACCAATAAGTGACCAGCATTTACTAGGTGCCTACTGTGGTGTAGGATATGAGATTTCAGTAGATGTTGCGAGACTCTTTCAACCCTCTTGGATCGAAATGAATGAAGGCTGTGTGCTTTCATTCCCAGCAGCTAACACCTGGGAGTCTTTGTAGGCAGGCTGTCCTCAGGCTGCCAGAGCTCATTTTTCCTGAGTGCACGGAGAGCTAGAAGTGCCTGGGTAAAGACAGTCTGAGGAGCAGCCCTTAACTGATGACTGGCAGGTGCAGAGGTGTCAAAAGCCCAGCTGCCTGCCCGCAGGTGGAAAACTCCCAGGTGTGACTTAGATTGTTTCCACAATTCTCCTGCAGGACTTAGCCAAAATTATTCTTCTGAAACTTTGCTGGATTTCACACCTGTGATCGGCCCTTTTTCCTGTCCCTCATCTCTATTTGTGTACCCATATTCCCTAGGATCACTTCCTAATAACCTACTTTCAGACACGTCCTCATCTCAGGATCTGTTGGTGGGGAACTCCCTGACCCACAATGGAAAGAGGAGAAAAATGGAGGTAGCGATTGTTCCTGGTCTATGTGTTACTACAAACAGTGAAGCAATGGGCCAGGAGTCAGTCATTATGAATACTAAAGTACTACTTGGCAAATTATTTTTGCTATAAATTAGCATACATTCAGAATTGTCCCTGTAACATGATCTCTCTCTCTTGTTTGCATTCTGAGATGCTTTATGGGTGGGGAAAAAGAAGAGGTGTTCCTGCCTGCTGGGATTTGCAGATCACCGCCAGCCTTGTCATTGCCAATCTAGGCACACCTATGGGAGTGGGTCCTGCATCAAACATCAACCATTATGGGTTTTGCAGTGTGGAAAAAGTGGAGACACGCTGGATTGGAGCCCCAGGAAATTTTGGCTTCATGTCTCCTGGACGTGGTTTCCATAAGTAGGGCTTGGAGGCCCAGGCTCCCCTAGGTCCACATGAAAAACACACCTTCCTCTCATCTAATCTTTTCTCACTAAATCCACCTCTTCCAGGAAATTTTCTTGGATTCCTTCCTCTGTTCACTCAGCCCTTCCTGAGTTCTCCTTTGGCACCGTGGAAAGTGGGTTTTGTTGGAGCTACTTTCTTAGCACTCGGGTACTCCCCCTCTCTCCACCCCCAAGCCAGCTGGAGGCTCTGAGTTTTTAGCCCAAATCACAGGCTGATAGAGCACATTAGGAACCTTGGCCATGGGCAGGACGTGGGGGCTGGGGCTGGCCCTGCTGTCACAGAATCATGGCTATGGGCAGGTGATGAGCTTGTGTTCCCCAGAGCGTGGTTCTCCTCACCACCAAACCCATGTGAGCTGAGTGTGGACACCAGGGCACTTGTGCCCATCTCACTGCCATGTAATCACCTTGCCCTGCTTATTCCTCTAGCCCCTCTGCCTGGACTGACACCTCTAGGGTCTGGACTGGACTCTTGGGTGTTGATGGGATTCTGCTGCCAACAGAATTCTGCTCCTGCACCAGCCAGTCTGCACCCTCACACTCCGTAGTGTTGGAGCCCTGGCTGCTTTAAAACTGGCAATGTCTCAGCCCCCAGACTGAGCTCAAGCTAATGGAGCCTCTTGAGTCCACTAGGTGGGCCTCAGGCCACCTCTCTGAGATTTCTGGGTTCCAGCAAGCTTGGATGCCGAGGCTTCTGGAATAGTGACACAGAGCACATGTTCCTTAGTATCACAGAGTCTGTTTTCTGAATCTTTCTAGACGCCCTGATTGAGTGGTGATGCTTATAAGCAAAGGGTCCTGTCTTACATCTTTAAGTATTCTGAGGCTGCTTAGGCTGGGATCTTGTGCTCATTAAATGTGCTCATTAAATGGCTGTTGACTGTAATTCCTCCTCCAGACCTTGTCAAGGGCCTGGCTATGGCATTTATTCATGCAATCATCCATTCTCTACTCATCCATCCACTCAGTCATATAATAAATATCTGCATCTGAAGGAATGACTCAATTTCTTCTATTCTTATATCCTAGGTTGTTACCCTAAGAACTTAGATATTCATCAGAAGGAATTTCAAAGCTCTACTGAGTCTTGGCCCAGTTAACGGGTACAATTCGTAAGCCTGGTAGTCCTGGGAGTGGGTGTATTTTGAAAGCTCTACATACAATGGCAGCTTCTGATGTCCTTTAGGACAGGATGGGCTTGCAGATTACAAAGCAAATAGGAGAATGCTCTGTTCTTCTCCTTGGGTTTAAGGCTGCATTGCTCCTGAGAGGTGATATTTGTCCTTGCAAGGTGTTTGCGTGTATCTCCACATACATGTTTTGGATTCTTGAAAGGATGAAGAATGTATTTGCGACTCCATTGTCCATGAGACGTTGGAAGGGGGCTGGTCTGGGGGTGGGAAATGGGGCCCACCCTGGGGTTATTTCAGACCGATTAATTCAGGCTTGAGAAATTAATTGCTAGATTGCCTGATGGGGGTAGGGGTGGGCCCTTGTGTATGGATGGAGTTTCCCAGCATCTGGGGAGAGATTTCTAGTGTGAAGGTTGGAAGGAGAGCCTCCCACAGAGGTGACTATGAGGACCAGGAACAAGGTCAAGGTGGGATGTGACCAAGCGGGAAGCCTCCATAAGATGTTTAACTTCTTAGACGCTTCTCTGGATATGAGAAAGAAACAGTGGTACTCACTTTTAAGGTCTTTTCCCTCCTATGTTGTAATTTTCTCCACAGCCTCTGATGGATCAGCAAAGTCCTAATCACCTACATAACTTTGAGGGCAGGATTTTAGCGGGACCTGAGGACCTGAGGCCGGCGGGGAAGGAGAGGCCCTGGTTCTTACTTCTTCCTCCTTCCTGAGGGCCTTGCATAGCTGCAGCAGCTTTGCGAGGAGTGTGTGCACAGCTGCAGCAGCTTTGCGAGGAGAGTGGCTGAGGTGGGGGTGGGGATGGGGGGCGGGGGGAGCGGGCAGCCCAATTTGGAAGGGCACAGGAGACGAGGCCCTCTTTCTCAAATACATCAGAGGGAGTGGGCTCTTCAGGGAAAGCAAAAGCTGACCTTAGGGTGACCCATGGCTGAGAAGCTGTTTTGGGTACTGGGAAACACACAGGAAATTAGACAGCCTCTTTGGCCTGGAGGAGCTCACACCCAAGAATGATCCAGTCTTGAAAAGGGCGTATGCATGGCAGATGCTTAGGGAGTGCCTTTCCAGAGGGGAATGAGCAGCAAGAGTTATTTCAGCTGGGCTCAAGGCAGCAGCTTGTGCAAAGGCCCATGTGGGCCAAAGTCTAGAAACAACTGTGGGCTGGTGCATGACCCATGCAGCGGACTGTAGCTATGTGTGGAAGAGAAGAGGCGTTGATTGAGGGTTTTGTCATTGATTGAGGGTATCTGAAGTGCCAGGCTCAGTGGCTTATTCTGTACAGTATAAAGGATAGTGTAGTTGGCAGTGGCTCTCAAGCCTGATGGGGCATCAGAATCACCTGGGAACCTGTTAGAATTGCAAATTAAAAGGCTGCACCCAGACCCACTGATTCAGAAATTCTGGGGGTGGAACCTAGCCATCTGTGTTTTAATAAGACTTCTGGGTGATTTAGATGCAGCCCAAAGTTCGAGAACCACTGGTGTAGTGGAAATAGTACTAGACTTTGGAAGGTGGGGTGGGCTAGTGAGAGAGGGAGGTGTGAGGGGGATGACTCACACTGGGGAAAGTCTGCTGTGTTCTGAGTCATGGGCTACGTTACTTGCATGTTCTTTTAAGTGCTCTAAGCAGTGACCGGGGGTGGGGGTTCTATATCACCATACTCTCAACATAGATGGAAAATCCAAGGCCTACAGGGGTTAAATGGCTTGCCAAAGATCACACAGTACTAGAGCTTCGTTCTGCACCCAATTTGGCTTGATTCCTAGAGCGAGATTGTCAGTGCCTCTTGGGACCACTGACCCACCTGTGTGCAATGGTCTGGGCAGCAAGACCTGGAGAACCCACAGGGACCTGGGTGGAAGGAAGGGTCTCAAAGCTTGTAGCTCCTTCTCTGAGGACCTGGTGGTGACCAGCCCTGAGGCTGATGAGCAAGAGATGAGGACTTCTATTCTAATTCCTGCCCTCAAAGGACAATTATTTGAATTTTCATAAGGTTTGCCATTCACACCAGGGAGCTGGGCTTAGCACATGTACTCTTTCAACAGACCAGCTGTTGTCCCTGACCGCCAGGGCTGATAGGTTAAACGTGAGGTTAAGTGGGAAAAGCAGGGTGAAAAATGACCTGCATGCTGTGATGACAACACCTTAAATAAAAAACAACATTAAGAACACATAGAGGGGGGAAAAGCCCAAAGGAATTTTCTTCCTTTCTTGTTTCCTAAGGTGTATTATGTAGTTACAATTATTTGTATGATGAATATACAGTCATTTATTTTTAAAGTGCAACCACTCACATCCTTTGTGGAAGGCAGTGGCATGGTGGATGACTCTATGTGCACAGTGGTGGGGCAAGGTTCTCTCCTCTGGGAAGGTTGGGTTCCATGGCCCCTTCAGCCTGTCCCTGAATGAGGCCAGCAGTGGGATGGGGAGCCATGCCACACTAGTGATATCAGAGGAGTTGTGATATTTATTCCTCTCATGCAGTTGCAAGGTCAAGCTTCAGGATCATAGAGACCCTCTGAACATCCCTCTTGACAGAGCTGTGGCCTGGAGGGCTTAAGAGGGACCCTGGGGCCTAGGGCTGAGTTCTCTCCTAGGTCATCCTGATAGCAGCCAGCAGGGAAGCACAAACCCAGGATGGCTTGGGGGCTGGGACAGGCAAGAGGAAGCCTCTCTCTCCAAGCAAAGGCCACCAGACACCTGTAAACACAAAATAGTCTTTATTTGTCAACGAAGGCTACACAGGATCACTTCTGGTTTTGTTTTTATGCTTTTTTTTTTTTTTTTTCTAGAAGGTATCTACATCTGCATTTATTTACAGCCTTGTTGGTATTTACACAGTCAAGATACAGTGTTAGAAACACAAAAGTGTTGAGAAAAAAACTTCTCAAAATTAGTTCCAGACTTCAGGAAAATGATTTCCACATGGTAAGGCCAGAGTCTCCAGTGTTGGTCATCCAGAGGCAGCTTGGTACAGACTCCTTTTGCTGAAGCTGCTAGTTCAGAGGTCCTCAGAACAACAGGTGGATTTACAAAAGTGGGATTCTGGTGTTGGATGAATCCAGGGCTGCTGGGGCACTGCCAGACACCTGCGGCTCAGCTCCTGCCAGGACGGTCAAGCCTGCTCCAGGCTGAGTCCTCCTTTGGCTGTTCGCCCTCAGAATAAATCACATTTTCTTGGGGACCAGGAGGTCACCTAGTACCTTGCCTTTGGCATTCCAGAGGGGGTAAGAAACACAACATTGGCCCTCGCCCGGGTCTTCCCACATTCTGATCTTCCACATTTGTAATGAAACCTAAGAGTCACCACTGTCTGGGGCAGTCAAGCACACAAAGATGGTTTTTGCAAATGTAAAGGTTGGAGAGGATAAGGTTTGTCTCTATCACCTCAGCAATGAGTCTTTAAAATGAGTTTGCTCTTTTTGGAAGGTTAAATTAAAGGGCCTTGAACTGCAGAGTTATTTTTTAATTCCCTTTCCTCCAATAAAATATAAACAAGTGTATAAACCTAGCTGGGAATGATGTGCCTTAAATAGAGAGGTTTTCGTTCTAACAAGGACCCCAAGGGAAAGGAGAGACTGGGTTCTTTCTGGGATCCCTCAGGAGATGTGTCCCCAGGTCAGGACCGGCTCTTGGGCTTAATGGCTGCCATGAGGACTGGAGAATAGCCTGGACTTTGAGCAGTGAATGCTCAAATCCCCAAGCCTGACACCCTGCTGAGAGCTCGAAAGCTCATTCCTCCTGGGCAGAAAGCTCAGCATCACCACCCTCACCACGTGGCCACCACAAATACAAGACTGCAAGTGGTAAAACTGCATTCTAAGATTTCACATTGAAATCTTAGATGGAAATGGAAATGGAAATCCCTGCCATCTATAAAGGTGATACTTTAAAGTCGCAGCTGAGAAGATGTATTTTTCTTCTTTTTTCAAATTCTGATTCTTTGTTCTGTGTCTACAAAACACTGCCCAGTCTGCCTTGCCATCATCTTCTGTGCCCCTCCTGGGTTTTTGGACACACACCTCCTGGCCATTCTCACCCTCAGTTTCTTTGGGATTGTTTCCAATCCTCTCTCCCTAAGTAGAAATCAGGCACTGGTGTGGTCCTTGGGTTAATTCTCAGCCAACAATTCTGAGAGATGAGGGTCAGAGGCTGACAAGGGAGTAATTTACTGGCATGCCTTCCTGTTCCTCCAGTTGTCCTAGCTCTGCCCTCCAGCAATGTCTGTTTGGAGTGTGGGGGGTGGGGTAAAAAAGAAATCTCATCCTACAAAAAACAAAGTTGGGGAATCAGCAAAGTCCTATTTAAGGTGGTGGCAGAGGGGCTGAGGAGGCAGGACCAGTTGGCAGCTGTGCGGGGTAGGAGAGAAGGCAGGAACTGTAGGATCATACACCTGGGCAGGTGAGGGAGGCCTGGTCACTCTATCGAATTAACAGATTTGGTTGGTGAGTGTCAAAAGGGCTGGTGTTCTCAGTGTGGGAGTCGATGCTTGGAGCCTATTACGTAGGCATAGGGTTAGGCCTTCAAACTCACCCTTGCCATGGGGTTGGGACTGCTGGTCTCAGCAGGAGGACAGTTTGAGAAGGGAGGCACTGAGTCACCTGCAGCCCAAATGGAAACCAACTCAAAAGGGCCAAGGCCAGAAGCACCCCCTTCAATACAACAGCAGCAATGTGATGGTGAGGTGCATAACACTGCCTGTGCCACCGCTGAGATCCTTTTTCTAAAGCTTCGGGATCCTTCAACTTCTCTCCCCACAGAAGCTGGGCTGCTGTGGTGGTATGTAGCCCAGGAAAAATATAAGATCCTTTAAAGAAACAAACACTCAGGCCAGGCGCAGTGGCTCACACCTGTAACCCCAGCACTTTGGGAGGCCAAGGTGGATTGCCTGAGGCCAGGAGTTTGAGATCAGCCTGGGCAACACAGTGAGACCCCATCTCTATGAAAAAAAAAAAAAAAAAGAAATGAAATACCCAGTAATTCTCTGTTTTTGATCCGTAAAAGTCCACCCTATCCCTTTGGGGAGGGGGCTGTGGAGGAGGGACAGGGCATGGGGGAAGCCTAGGGAGCTGGTTCCCGTGGACCACAAGCCACCCTTGACCTCTGAGCAGACATCTCCAGCAGGTCTTCACTGATACCGGGCAGCCAGGATGGGACTGATCGACTGGGCAGGAGCACTTTGCCCAAGGACCCTTGGTATGAAGAATACATTTTGAGAGGCGTAAGTCCCTTCTGGAGAACAAAAACTTGTGTTCTTCAGGCCAAACTGTTTTCCATCTCATCCAAGAATGATCCTGCCAGATGGGAGCCCCCATCTCCAGCTCATGCCTCCCACAGCAGGCCTGCGGAGCGCTGTATCTGACTTAGTGGAGCTCTGGATCCAGGGGCAATGGGCAACCAGTGGACAAGCAGGCCAAGGCGCACTGCTGCGGCAGTGTGACTTTTTTTTTTGGAAACAGGAAGAGCACTTAGCGAAACACATCCTCTAATCCCAGTGGGATGATGTAAGGCGGAATCTCCTCTCCTCGAGAAGTTTTGGATGCCTCCCTCTGCCAGGCAGAACCCAGACTACATGCTGCTCCGATCCCCATGCAGTCAGAGACCTTCTCAGTTTCATTAACTCGTGTAATATTCTGAAGACTCCGTGAGTAAGGCTATAGAGGTGCCATGAGCTTATCAGTCCAACAAGGTTTCCACGGGGAATAGCTCAGACTCAGAATTCATTTTCCACACTTAATGTAAATGTAACCCATAAAAGTTCCATTTTCTAAGAAGCCCAGCTTAAAAGGAAGCATTTGGCTTCCCCTCCCATCTCCCAGAGCCTCCTGTGAGTGGTAATGACAATGGTAATTAGGCGGATGAACCAGGAATGGAATCCTTGAACAAGGGGCTCCCAGCTCTGGCTGTGACTCCCCCTGCCCTCCCTGCTCCCCCGCCTGCTGGCTGCTGCCTCAGCTTGGGTGTGCTCTTCAGGTATGGGCTGTCCCTGCTGCTGCGAGGGCTCAGGCCTCTCCCTGACGACACAGGCACAGGTCTTCACAGGAACCACACCAGCCTGGCCTCCCAGATCCACGGGTACCCACCTTGGGAACTGCCCTGCTCCTGGTGGGGTTGCATGACACGGGCAGGCCACACCACAGCAGCTCTTCCCTCCTTTCTTCCTGCCACTAAAAAACACACTGGCTGGGCTTCTCTAGCGGGGAAGCTGATTCAGAACTTCAGGAACTTCCTGGAAGCCCATCCTGCCCCAGTCCAGCTCTGCGATCAGCTTGTACATGGAGGCAGATTGGACTTCCGGAGCTGGTTAGAAGGATGCTTGGCTCATGCCTTCCTCTCTTTGGTTGGCTTTTTTTCTTAAGCATTTTTCCAGAATCAAAGGCCACCAAGCACCTCCCTCCACATTCCGACGTCTCAGTGGCGGTGGCTGAGCAGTGGAGGGAAGATACTCAAAGTCATAGAGAGAGGGCTTTGCCTCGGAAGGCAGGCTGCTGCCCTCACCACCACTGCCATCCCTTTGCTGTGGGTGGCCTTCCCTTCCGTGGACATGGTGCTTACATTGAGGGCTTGCTGTGCAGTGCTGGTTTTCACATCTGGCTTTGGGAGAGAGGAGGAGATGAACAGGAACATCATGGAGGACCAACCAGTCACAGGCATCCTGGGTGCTTTCCCTCCCGGGAGGATGGGGCTCTGAGTCCAGGACGTTATGTCACCGGTCTGGGGGAAAGGACCTGGGAGACACTTTCTCTATCCCAGCATGGAGGTGGCACCGACAACTACACGGGATTTGCAAAAGGGGTAGGGGGCTTCATTTAGCATCAAAATAGAAAGCTTGGACAGGAGTTGGGGCAGCTTAAAAAAGGTGCTGAACAACACCATGAAATTCCCTGGAGCAGGATGAAGCCATCTGTGATCCTCTGGAGGCACAGAACATGGTGAGAAGAAATCCACCACTCTTCTGCAGAAGCCCTGCCTAGGAGCCTCTGGTCCTACAGACCCTCCTCCCAGGCCCCCTCGGAAGGGGCATTGTACTGGCCCATCACTCCCTTTACTCCTGCCTGACCCCAATCGAAGAAGAAAGGGTTGCACATGAGACAAGTTAGCACAGACATTCATGTCCCACATCACACTGGGTATCTAGGGACAGACAAGGAGACACCCCAGGAGATGTATCTCAGAGAGGAGATACATACCCCAAACGACAAGGGAAAAATCCTAGAGGAAAAAGGGAACAAAAGACAATAAAGTTTTCATTGTGATCACACTACAGAAAAAAATACCTTCTGTTCTTTGCAAAAAATGTGCGAAGGCCAAATTTGTGTTTTTCTTTTCTAAAAAAAAGGATGTTGCATGAGTTACAATGCAACCAGTATCTTTTTGTTTCTGCACTTGTTAAAAAATCAATTTTTTTTTTTTAAAGTACAACACAGTCAGGTATGTGGCCACAAAAGAGTAGCTGTCTTTGGCAAGAAGTCCAGGCCTTGGCCCTTTCTGTCACCTCCGGCCCATCTCGCTCTGTCTCATGAAGTGGATGTTGTTGGCGCTGTCCGACAGTTCTGGGTACTGCTCGACAGAGATCACGAAAAAGCCGTCGTAGCCTTGCACCCGCCCTGTGCTCAGCACCTGCTGCTTCTCCCCCTCTGTCCAGGCCCGCAGGCCTTCCTCCCCTTCCCGCAGTCTCTGCTGCTCACGGGCCCAGGCCTGGCGCACGGCTCTCTGCCGGGCCAGCTCCAGGACCCGCGCCTTCTCCTCGTCCAATGTTGTCCCATAGCGTGTGTTCAAGCACAGTGCCCCGTACTGGAGCTGGATGTCTGTGTAGCGTCTAGTCCTGCCATTAAGCACTGTGTTGATCTGGGACACAGTGACGTTGATCCCATTCTCCAGGGTTCGCCGCCCCCCACTGAGGCCCAGGATGGCCAGGTCACCTTCTGAAGGCCCTGGTTTCACAAAGTAATGGGTGTCCACCCCATCAATGGTGAAGTGCAGGTTCTCTAGGTAGTGGGCATTGTTCAAGATGGCAGCAACCCTTCGCCCATCCTCGTTGGCCACACTGATGATGTCTGTGGTCACTCGGCCATCCTTCAAGGCAAATTTGACCCCCTTGCCAAAGATTGAGCCACTGGATGCAAACTTCTTGGTCTTTGGGGCCTGCTGGCAGCTGGTGATTGTGGAGCCATAGAGCTGGTCAAAGCGTTCTAAGGTAACGAAGGCCTTGAGCTGCTTCTGTACTTCACACTGTACCCCGAGGATAGACTGATGGGGGAGGAGAGTGAGAGACAGAATAAGACAAAGGGGAAAAACCCCTGAGAACCTGGAAAATCAGTTTAAATAATGAAGTCAAAACCACACATATTTATTAACCTACGGCATGTAGCTCTACTGCCGACCACCAGAACATCCAGGTGGTCACCAGAAGGTCAGAACATCTGCTGACCTTCATCCATCCATTCACCCACCCTTCTTTTTAGAAACTGTTCAAGGGGCATGTAATCTGTGCCAGGTCCTTTTCTGAGCACTGGAGACACAAAAATGAATCAGACATCATCCTTGCTCTTAAATAACTCATCATTTGGTGAGGAAGGACAGATATGACAACAATAATTGCAATCAAATGTGATCACTGATGGCCTAAGAGAGGAACTAGTAATAGCTATAGCTAACATTTCTTGATGTTTGAGCCAAATAATTACCACTCATTATCTTAGTGATCTTCACGATAACTTTATACGGTAGGTGCTGTCATGATTCCACTTTCATGTCTAAGGAAACCAAGGCTCAAAGAGGTTGTCACTGGCTCACAGTCATACAACTAATAACAAGTCAACATGCAAGCCTGTCCAATTCTAGAGGTTCAGTTTCAAGGGCTGCTGGAGAAGGAAGGAGCAAACAAAGCTGAGAAGAATCTTGGCCTGAAGGTGGAGGAGGTGGGGTTTGAGGACAGGCGTAGGCTTGAGTTGGGACCTGAAGGATGGGTGGGAGTGGTAGGGTGCTGTCAGATGGAGGATTGGCAAGAAATGCATTCTTGGCAAGAAGGCATAACATGGTGAGAGGCAGTGACTGATATTAACCCTTCCACCCTGCTTCACTGCTCTCCACTGCATTTACATCTGATTTCCAAGGAAGGCCTCTGCCCCACTGTGCTTCCTTGGGGCTCCCGGGGTGCCCCTCCTCTTGGCTGCTTTGGGGGACAGGTGGGGCCCTGATAGCTTGGCGTATCATCTACCTGTCCCTTCTGTAGCTCAGGGAGCTTGGAGAAGCCACACTCAGGAAGGCTCCAGGGCCTAATCAGGGAGTTAGGGAAATGGCTTTAGCAAAAGGCCCATCGGCTTCTCACTGAAATTAAGTCCTCTTTATAATTAATAGAACCCTGTCTGTGAACAATTATTTCCTAGAGTTTCACGAAAGCTGGAGTGCTCAACAACAAAGATCTCCGATGCTTGCCAAGGGCAGAAATCAATAATTCATTGATAGGCGAGGTTGGCAGACAGGCAGTCAGAGACTGGGGCTCTCTGGAGTGCAGAAGGGAGCCTCGTGAGGGAGGAGGAGCTGTGCTGCAGTGCTCAGCCCTGGGAAGAGCAAATGCCAGGATATCTGGGCAGGGCCTGGGGGTGGTGGGAACTGGAGAGGCTGGGCAGCAGAAAGACAATGGGCTCTGGGACCAGGCAGACTTGGGGTCTCCATCAAATTCTGCTGCTTTCAAACCCTCATCTGTAAAATCGGGAAATGTCTGGGCTGTTTACTTCTTTCAGCCATTTATTTATTTATCAAAAATGTTCCATGCATCCACTGTTTGCTATCCTGTATGCTGGGTACTATATGAGACCTAGCACTTAGCCTCTTGGGGCTCATAATCCAGTGAGAGACAAGAAAGAGGCATTAAAATACAGTGTGGGAAGTGCCACCAGCGTACAGAGGTGCAGAATCCCATTCTCTGGGGTCTGGTAGGAGATAGCCATGCTGAGGCCTAAAGGAATCAGTCTGGAGTAAGAAATGTGGATGTGAAGGTTTCTGACCACCAGCAGCAAGCCATCTGGCAACCTGCTTTCCTCCTTAGTCTGTCATCCCCTGGGCAAGCATCCCTTGAAGGCTTAGTCTCTGCCTGATTCATCCCTGCATTCACTGGGCACAGCATGGGGCTTGGCACAGAGTCAGGTTCTCATAGAGAATTTATGAATGGATTGGGTTTGTGGGGAGGGGAGAAATGAGCAAATGAATGCCTGAAGTGAGCGGGTGGGATGAGATTGTTTTTAAAGACCTTTCCAGCTATACATTTCTGAGTCTTTGAAACTGGGTTATAAAAGCGAGACAAGAGCAAGTGAGTCTTTTTGAGCACCTACAATATGCCAGGCACTGTGCTCAGCAAGAGGATACAGAACAGGCACATCTGGGTTTGAATCCCAGCTCTACCCCTTCCTTGCCGTGTGGCACTGGGAAAGCCTCAGGCACGAATCTGTAAAATGAGAACAATACGGCTGTGGGATCTTTGTGAGTTACAAAGAATAACTCACATAAAGCCAGGTGCATTGAAATACTCAGAAAATGTCACATTTTTATTTAGAACCCACCTTCCCTCCCTGCTTTTGTTCTGGATATTGACACAGGCTTATTATTTTTGTAGAACTCCAAACTCAGTGTAACACACAAAGCTCCTTACTGCAGCTTGTAAGTGTCTGTGTGTGGTCATGGCTGCTTCCCCAGCAGCTTACTAGTGGTGGGGTTACTAAGCGGTTGTTGAACAGTCTCTGGCAGGCACTGTGGAGGCACCATATTGGTGTCTATCACTGGCCCACGCTTTTCTGAAAAGCTGAAGGGACCCCTCCTGTAACGTCTGAATGGCCTGAGGAGTGGCAGCCTTGCGCAGGAATTACCTTGCTGTTGTCCCACTCCTGGGTTTTCATCTGTGTGTGGATGAGCTCATAGGAGGGTTCCATGGCATCCATGTCTGGTTTGGGATAACCAGGGATCACGTTGTGTAGCTGGAATCCAAAGGTGAGCAGCCAGCTGTTAACATCTGGATGGGAGAGAAGCAGAAACATCTCCGTGGACTAAGTGGACCTCAGATACGACCCATCCCCATCACACAGCCTGCAGTTAGCTGCAGCGGGTGGTGAGGATGTGGATTGCTGCTGGTGGGAGAGTCAACTGCTACATACACTTTGGAAAATGGTTTCACTCTATGAAAGCCAAATGTACTCCTGGGACTCAGCGATCCCAATCCCAAGTAAACCCAAGAGTGATGACACTGAAATAGAACCCAGGTTTCCGGACTTCCTTTGCTCTTTTCACTTCAACTCCCAGGACCTCTAGCTTCATACCCAGGGGCAGCTGTTGACAGATGAAGATCCCTCCCTTTCACCCCAACATCCATAGGAGACACTTACAAAGGACATCCAGACCCACCAAAAGGAAAGATTTTAATGATTGACTTGCAATGAGACAATTCACTTACGAAACACACTCCCCTGCTCTCCCACCCCCTGTGCAGTGATTAGAGCTTCAGGGTCAAAGTCCCATGGGTTACAGAGATGGCCTAGGCTGCGATCAGAGAGTCTTCCCTCTGCTTCTACGTTTTATTTACTCTGACAGCCCAGGGATGCCACAACCTCCCTGTGCCTTCATTTTCTTTTTTTTCTTGAGACAGTCTTGCTCTGTCACCCAGGCTGGAGTGCAGTGGCATGATCTTGGCTGACTGCAACCTCTGCCTCCTGCGTTCAAGCAATTCCCTGTGTCAGCCTCCCGAGTAGCTGGGATTACAGGCACCCACCCCCATGCCCAGTTAATTTTTGTATTTTTAGTAAAGACGGGGTTTCACCATCTTGGCCAGGCTGGTCTTGAACTCCTGACTATGATCCATCTGCCTCGGCCCCCAAAGTGCTGGGATCACAGGTGTGAGCCACCGTACCCGGCCCCCTTCATTTTCTAGTCTTTACGCTGGGCTTGGGGATCGAGTCCCATAGGCATGGGAATAATTGATTTTATAACATTCCTTGGGGTTACTAATTATTAGGTGTGGGGATAGACAGGATTTTGCCATGAACATCTGGCTCACTGGAGAATGGAATCAGGAAGCCAAGACATGAGGAAATGAAGAGGACCAGTCACCTGGCCCACTATTGCTGAGTATCTTCTATGTGCCCAGGACTGTGCCATTCAGACCCTCATCTCACATGCTCACAACTCTGAAGGAGAGATGAGACATGGGAATGAATAACTTTGATACAAGGAAAGATTAGAGGAAGGCGGAAGTCTTTCATTTAGACAGGCTGACAAGACCACATGCAGAAGGTGGCATTTAAGCCAGACACTGAAAGCTGTGCCATTTTTGTCAGGCACTGGCAGAGATGAAGTGGGCACTTCAGGTAAAGATGACTGTACAAGGCAAGGCCTAGAGAGGGAAGGTGTGGGTGCAGGGAGTGTTCAGGTAACCAGAGAGCAGCTCAGCCAGAAAGGACGACTGTGGCTGGAGCAAGAAGAGCCTCAGATGGCAGGTGGGAGGTGAACTGGGGCCAGAGGGAGACAGACAGACAGACAGACAGACAGACAGACAGCCTGTGTCCCAGCATGGCTCAGCCTTCCTTGAAAAGGTATAGCTGAAGATGCCAAAGCAGATGTCGATCAGAGACTAAGAATCCAAAGTCTTAGGGAGGCAGGATTTTGAGTTGAGCCTCAGAGCCAGCCTGATTTTGGCTTCTTTCCAGTGGAGATAGAACCCTGATCACAGAGGTCCTGTTTAGTTTCTAGGATGATAGAGTTTGAATATTTGTCCCCTCCAAATCTCATGGTGAAATTTGATCCCCAATGTTGGAGGTGGCCTAGTGGGAGGAGTTTGGGTCATAAGGGCAGATCCTTCATGAATGGTGTGGTGCCCTCCCCGAGGTAATGAGTGAATTCTTGCTCTATTAGTTCATGCAAGAGCTGGTTGTTTAAAAGGGCGTGGCACCCCTCCCTTCTCTCTTGCTACCTCTCTTTCCATGGTCACACTGGCTCCCCTTGCCTTCCACTATGAATAAAAGCTTCCTGACACTGAGCAGATGCGGGTGCCATGCTCATACCACCTTCAGAACTGTGAGCTTAGTTCCTTATAAATTACCCATGAGTCTATTTTCCTTATAAATTACCCATGCTCAGGTATTCCTCTATGGCAGCATAAAACAGACTAAGGCATAGGTAAGTTTAGGCAAAATTGCCACCTGCCACCCACTGAGTTCATCCTATTGGTGGGAGTGACCTGTGTCCCTGTCACCACTGGGTCCCATGTTGCTATCCCATTCAAGAACCTCATGTTTGCCTTCGTTTTTGTTTTGTTTTCAGGTCGTCTGGGGCCCCTTCTCCCAAGTGTGCAACTTGGTGGTGCCGAGATGGAGTGGTGGTAGAAAGGGAAGTTTGGAGCTTCGTTCTACTCGTTTCAGCCTTACGAGACAAAATCAAAGAAAGGAAAGAACATGGTAGTTGAAGCAAGACAAACACAGGTCCAAATTCTGGCTGCCCAACTTACAAACTGTGTGAACTCGGACAGTTTACTTAACTTCTTCAAGATTTCGTTTCCTTTTCTGAATAGTGACAGTAGAAATGGTTTTAACCATACTTTTATGGAGAAGAGTACAAAGTGTTACCGTTTGGTGGCAGTTATCGTGTGGCAGGAGCTATTCTAAGCTTATACATAAATTACTGGATTTAATATATTTTAACTTTTTTTGAGACAGGATCTTGCTCTGTCACCCAGGCTGGAGTTGAGTGGCATGGGTTAAAGAAATTCTCCCACCTCAGCCTCCAGAGTAGCCAGGACCACAGGCGTGCCATCATGCCTAGCTAATTTTTTGTAGAGATGGGGTCTCGCTATGTTGCCCAGGCTGGTTTGGTGCTCCCAGTCTAAGCAATCTGCCTGTCTTGGCCTCCCAAAGTACTGGGATTACAGATGTGAGCCACTGCGCCTGGCAGAGTTAATGTATTCTGAAGAATACAGCTCAGTGCCCACTCACAGAAGATTTTCTCTATTTTCCCCCAACCCATGCTTCCACATCCCAGGACCTCCATTTTCTCCTCTCTAACAGAAGGAGCTTGGACTAACTTTTCTTCAAAGTCCCTCTTCTCACTGAGTTTTTAAGAGTCTTTGATTCTATAAATCGTGGCAGATGGTTCTTTGGGAAATTAAAACAAACAGAACAGGAGGGAAAAATGCCCTATAAAGCCATTTTGCCTGAGGCTAAGAACTTGCATCTGAATTTGTAGTTGCAAAGGAAAGCTTCTATAAGGAATACTGCAAATTCTCAGGAAACTAGGGGGCTGAGAAGAGGCCTGGGCCTTAATTACAAGTGATGGAAGGTGGAAAACTTTCCTATTATGCCTTTAGGAAAAATGCTGAAAATGAATTTATTCATAAGTTTTTCTTCAGTGCTCCTCTGAAGAGCTGGGAATTTTACTCTTCCTTCTTACCATATCAGAAGTAGATATTTCCCTCAAGTGAAAAAATTCCTCTTCACTCATCCATCCCAGAGTTTGGTGTTGTCACAGGGGAGTGATGAAATGTAGGCAAAAATAATCCCTCCCCTCCCTCCATCCCTCCCTCCTTCCCTTCCTTTCTCTCTCTCTCTCTCTCTTTCTTTTCTTTCTTTCCTTTTTTTTTGACAGGGTTTCACTGTCACCCAGGCTGGAGTGCAGTGGCACAATCTTGGCTCATTGCAACCTCCGCATTCCAGGTTGAAGCAATCCTCCTGCCTCAGCCTCCCGAGTAGTTGGGATTACAGGTGTGCACCACCACTCCCAGCTAAGTTTTGTATTTTTAGTAGAGACAGGATTTCACCATGTTGGCCAGGGTGGTCTTGAACTCCTGACCTCAAGTGATCTGCCCACCTCGGCCTCCCAAAGTGTTGGGATTACACGTGTGAGTCCCCACACCCAACCAATAATCTCTTTCATGTGTGTGGTTTTGTTCTTTACAAAGTGTATTTGAATCCAAGAATGAGGGTTTTGGAATCAGAGCAGAGTTCTAATCCAGCCTTGCCACTTCTTAGTGGGCCAGTTACTTTAGCTCTCTGAACCTCAGAACCTCACTTTTCCCCTTTGTAAATGGGGTCAGTGATCCCACCTCACAAGCATCAAGTGAAGATAGAGTGCAATGATGTACATGGTATATTGGTAGTGGACATCTTCTGGTTGCCTTCCCAGCAGCCCATTCTGCCTTCTCTTTCCTTTCTGGAGTATTAGTGTAATTACAGGGAAGTTGAGTCCACCTAAGGGGTTAGCATGTGACCTAGGCTAAGCCAATCAGTGCATTCTTTCCCTCCAGTCACAGTAAGTGCTTCAGGGATTGTCCTGTGACCTAAGCCTATCTCACTGGAATATATCTCAGGACACTTGAAGAAATTTTTGGAAAAAAAAAAGAATTTTGTTGTTGTTGTTGTTGCTGAATGTGAATGAAGATGCATGTAGTCTACCTGGATGCTAAGATGAAAGGTTTAGCGAGAAGTAATAGTATCTTGGTTTCTTATTCATGATTGTAAATCTTTTCAAATTTGCTAAAAACTTAACTGCTTATATGAAATCTCTTCTTTGCACACCATAGGTTTTCAAATGTAGGATATGACCCACTATGTAGTAGAATCAATTTTGTGAATCATGACCAGCATTTTTATTGAAATGGAACAGACTAGATTAGAAAATGAGTGCATCACACTTAAGTATTCTTTTGCAAACCTTTTGTCTTAGTGTTTTATTGCAACATAAAATCTTTTTCTTATGGTGGGTTCATAGGCAAAGAAATTCGAGAAAACTGTCTTGGACCCTGTGATCTATGAAGGTGGGTATTATACCTCACTCCTCTCTGGATCCTTAGTACAGGTTTGGCAAGGAATAAGTATGAATAATATACTCTTTGCTGGATTTAACTGACTAGAATATAGAACCCAAACTGAAAATGTTAGGTGCCCCTTGGTGGTTGGTTGCTTTGTTAAAAGCTGGATTTGGAGGCCAGCATGACTGTAGTGGACGGTGTTCTGGAGTTGGAGAGCCCTGGATTAGAGTTCTAGCTCCATGGTCTACATCTGTGTGACTCTGGACAAACCCTTCACTAGAGCCTCAAATGACATTTGGAGTCTCATCTGCAGAATGGAGATAATGATGGTGATCTCACGGTTGTTGCAAAGTTTAAAGGAGAGCATATCTGCCAAGTGCCAGATAGCATAGAGAGTTAGTTATGTTAGTGCTATTCTGGAAGGAGACCATATGTATATGGTGGTGTACAAAGAAAAAGCGGGGAGGGAGTAATATTTTGGCAAGATGTAATGATTTTTTTTTTTTGATAGAAAAGTACGTTTCCTATTTCACCATATTTTTTTCAGCTACAGTAACCTGCCAAGACATCTCACAGGAAACTCACTGGAGGGTGAGGCAGGGGGTGTGCTTAATGCAGACAGATGTAATGGAAATGTCATCTCAATCTGTCAAGTTTCTCTAGAACTAGCAGCCAAGTTGAGCATGATGAAGGCTGTGAAACATTGTTAGGATATTCATGTTTATCCATAGGCCCCAAGTCTGTTTTCATCACACCTGTCCACCACCTTGTTCTCCCTTCTTTCCTATGCTTAGGATGCTGTTCTCCCCTCTTTCCTATGCTTGGGATGCCTGCTCTCAACGTGTGACAATGTGGAACTCTTCTTGAAAAAGGAATTCTTCTACTGCTGTCAGCAGAAATAGGTTCCAGGTGGGGGCTACCAAGTTTGGGAGCCGGGAAGCCATGTCTGTAAGGGGTATTCACGTGAGCTATCATGTTGCCCCTCTACACTTTTGTATTATATGTGCTGCCTTCTATCTCTGGAATGTCTTTCTCCCCCATTATCTGGTGAACACCCATTCAGGAGCTGGCCTCAAATGTCAGCTACTTTGTGAAAACTTCCCAGAATGCCCTGGGCAGAGCAGGTGGCTCCTCCTCTGTGCTTCAAGGGGCATCTGTGCAAACCTTTGCCATGGCCCTCCCCTCTTGACAGCAGTTGCCTGTCTCTCCCCTTACAGTGAAAATTCCTGGAATGTAGGGATCATCTTTCTATCTCCAGTGCCTGAAACAGTGGCTGCACAGAAGAGGCAGTTGTAGGATGAAGGAAACTGCCATAAAAGAGGGCAAGAGGACTGAATTGCAAGACAAAAGAGGGGAGAGACTACTGGCTTTGCAAGTTGGGATGTGCCCAATTTTTGCCTATCACAAACTCTCTTATGTAAAAAGCGTGGGCTTTACCCAAACCCCCACCCACTCTCTGTGGGGTTGGGGGCCTCTGTGGCTAACCTGGGACTGGCTGCGCGCTGGGAGGGCTGTGGTTGCTGGAGACATCCCTGCTTGTGGGACCCTGGGACACTTTATATTCAAGTTGCTTTCATGCTAGTGGAAGGCAGAGCTCACTTTTCAAGTCAGAGGGTAAAGGAAACGGAAACCACATGAGCCAGGCACTGTGCTAGGAACCTCATGAAGTATTTCATTTCACCCTTGCAACCACCCTAGAAGGTAGGTGTTAGTTTCTCTTGTTCCATGTGTTCCTTATCCTTATTTCCCCTCTTTTCCTGCCCTCTTTGGATTATTTTCTTAGTCTTCCATTTTATCTCCACTGTTGACTTATTAGCTAGGACTCTTTTTTTAGTTTTTATCTTTTTAGTGATTTCTCTAGGGTTTATAATACACATATTTAACTTACAGGTAGATATTCTAACTTCAATTTACATATCAGGAAACTGGAATTCAGGGCAGTTAAATAATTTTTGTAACATGTCATAGCTTCAAAATGGTGGATCCTTCACTCTGTTCTTACATTATCTCAGATTGACAACTAATTTTCTTTTTTAAAGCCATACCTTAGCCCAATCAAGGACTCATAAGCAGTTTGATTTGTGTGTCAGAAACTCCTAAAGTGCAATCCATGGGATGTATCCAATGAGATATTAGGATTTCATGGTGAAAAAGGGGCTTTCACAGTCAAATAAGTTTGAGAAATAGCGGGAAAATATATTAAATAGTTCACTTTTATCGCACTTCCCAGAGCTTATCATACACCGAAATGTGCTATGAAAATGTAATAATGGTGGTGACCCTGACAAATTTATTTGATGCTGGAACTATTTTTCCAGAGTATTTTCTGAACTAGTGTTTCTTCAAATGGACTTTGGAAAATGCTGCTCTAAGAGAAAGTCAGTGTTTCCTGTCACCCTACACCACCTTTCTCAAAGAAGACTAAGTCTTGTTAGGTAGTAAGAGCACTTTATGGGGTCCTGCCCTGAGTGAGCCGTGGTCCTTACCTGTCATGAAGCACTTGATGTCCTGAGAGTTGCTGATGGGGTTGTTGTTTTTGAACATATAGAGATTAAAAGGCATGATGTTGCTGCTACTAAGGTGCTGCCACAGCTCGTGGTCTGGGCTAGTCCAGCGTCCGGCCAGCACATCATAATCTCGCCGGCCCATGTGGACAAGCTTGGTGAGTGGATCATAGAGGCCACCATGGTAGCCTATGATGATCTGAAAGTTGGGGTTGGTATCCATGTAGATCTCCCCATAGGCTGTGTACAGGATTTGCTTGATCATCAAACCCGTTCCACTAAAGACAGCAAGAGGGGTCCCGATGTTGTCACAAGCGATGTAAAACTCGTCACCACTGCTCAGCTCCATGGCAAAGAGGTGTCCTTGCAAGTCGTAGTAGAGGGAGGTGATCTCAGAGCTGGAGTGGTTGTAGAGGTGGGTGACCTTGGTGGGGTTGGTCAGGTCTGCATAGAAGAACTGCAGGTGGTGGCTGTGGCTGCTCTTGCTGGACACCCGCCGCCCCAGGCCGTCGTAGCGGTACCTGACACTCCAGCCGCCAGCCCGGTTGTAGGCCTTGATGAGTAGGCCAGCTGAGTTGTACTCAAAGGTATCACCGCCACGCTGCCTCAGGAAGCCATCCTCGTCCATCTTGTATTGCACATCACCCAGTCGAGTGATGCGGTCGCGGAGGTCGTACCGTAGCGGTGTGAGCCGTGCACTGTTCCCAGGGCTCAGTAAGTGCAGGTTTCCATTGAGGTCATAGCTGTAGCGCCAGAGTGGCTTGTCATTGATGGAGACTGTCTGCAGCTGGCCATCAGCATCGTACTCATAGGAGTAGCGGGTGGTATTGGCGTAGGGTCCCACCTTCAGCTCCTTCTTCACTACTCGCCCCATGTTATCATACTGGACGGTCATCCAGTACATGAGCGAGCGGAAGATCTCATACTGCACTTCCTTCATCCTGCCATATGCATCAAAATGCTTGGTGTGGGTCATGACAGCTGTGGTGATTATCTGGTTAATGTCATAGTAGATGACACCAAACTTCCCAAACTGCTCTGTCTTGCCTGACACATCATCATAGCGATAGAGATCAATGGGCAGCGGGGTCTCGTTGATCACAGCCTGCATGCTGGTCACCCGGAAGCTGTTGTCATAGTTGTAGTCAAAACGGGCATTGACCATGCCTTCCTCAGTGAAGCGGAAGATCTGCCGGTCGATCAGGGGCCCAATCTGACGGTAGCGGATGGTGCAGGTGAAGCCCTCGTTCTGTAGGTTGATGGTCTTCAGCATGCCTGCCGTCTCGTCATAGGTGAAACTGACCTTGGTGGTGTCGTACAGTGTCTCCGCCAGCTTCGACAGTTTGCCATACTTGTATATCACCCTGCGGCCAGTGCCCAGGTAGAAGGTGTGGAGGAGGTGCCCATCCTCAGTGAAGTCCTGTATGACTGAGGCATTGCCCTCAGGGGGCTGATAGATGTTTCTGTAGTAGCCCACTGAGCGGATGGTCTCTAGTGTCTGCCGTGCCACGTTGGGCATCGTCACAGAAGAGAGGCGGTCATTCTTGTCAAACTCAAAGATATACTGCCTCTGGCTGTGTAGTAGCAGCACCATGGACTGGAGGGAGAGGAAAACCAAGAGATGAGAGGAGGGTGGTGAGGAGAAAGGGTAGCTCTACATACTCGAGACTTAAAGGGAAGGAATGAACGTCCAAGGAGAATCCTGAGTTTCCATGGTTCTCTTGAGTTGTGCTCCAACCAGAGCTTTCCAACAGGAGTGCCACAGGATACTGCAAATATGTTACAGATGTGCCAAGATGAGGCTTTCTCTCAGTCTCATCTTAGCACACCTTTAACCTTAGCACATCTGTAACCTACCTGGGGCCTAGGCACGTCTGTAACCTACCTGGGGCCAGGTACTCAGGCCATTTGCTGTCCTATGGTGAGCAGCCTCATGCGTTTGCCCCTTTGTGCAGTATAGACCTGGTTACTTTTGTGTGTGGTGGGGTGTGAGAATGGTCGAGAAGCTTTGGCCTGAAGTGTGTACGGCAGTCTGGCTTCCTTGCCCCGGACTTCTCAAACCAATCTTCCTACTCAGGCAAGAATAAGCTCCCCCAAACACAGTCTGACAATTTATTTTACCTGCTAAACAGTTTCTGCTGACTCCCTGTGGCTTGCAGCATGAAGACCATATTTGAGAAAGGCATTTAAGGCTTTGCACAATGACAGGTCATACGCCTACCCTGGGGTAGGGCAGGCTGTGATGGGAATGGGAGAAGCCGGTTTCTAACAATGGACTCCTTGTGTGGCCCTGGGAAAGTTCCTCTCCTCTCTGGGTTTGGGTTTTCAGTATGTTGGATGACCTCCAAGGTCTCTCTCTTAGTACTAGCACAGAACGTCACTTTTGGGGATACTCACCCAGTATGTAGAGGAGACTCACCTCAGAGCAAGCACAGTGTAGGCCCTGGATGGGTCACCAGGGTCAGGAAACAAAGCAGGGATCTGGATACCAGAACTGGGGCATGCAGTGCACTTGTTCTCAGGAAAAGATCAGCAGATAATAGGCCTAAAGGCTTTATGCTGAAAAGCTACCATTTTCTCCTATTTGAGACCAACTTTTGATTTTATGTCATTTCTGATTCCTACCCCTGGGATGAAATGAGTTCTGACCCTATAGCAGAATAGACTTACTAAGGCCATGTCCAGCACTTGAAGCTCAGTGCCTCCTGCCTAAGTACTGATCCCTAGGCTTCTGCCTGGTTCTCCACAACTGGATTGTACCACATGCCCTAGACCTGGGAGCAGACCCTTGGCCTGGGTCTGAACCGTGAGTCTTGCTCTGCAAGTCCAGTGAGTGTTTGGGCCTCTACTCTATCAGGCATGTCTTTCATGTTCTCCTGCCCTAGGACCGCCACCTGCCATGCCATCTCCATGATCCATCTAGATGCCTCTTGGGACCCCCTGTGCTCTGTGGCAGATTTTCCTGAACATTTCCTTTCAGAGACATGGGTCAGATATAGCCCACTGAGGCCACCAGGCTGGGCTTGGCCATGAACGATTGGCCTTCTGCATGGCAAGGCCAGTGATGCAGGGAGACAGACACCTGCCTTCTCTAAGTACGTGTAGCTCCACGTCTTCCCATCAGCGAAGATCCTGGATGTGATGCGGCCTGCCTGGTCGTATTCCATTCTTTCGGACATGATGCCTCTCTGGATGCCAGCAATGTGACCCCCAGGGGAGTATGTCACATTGACACCATTCAGCCTGCTGCTGGGTGACCAGAGGCTGGGCCGCCCCGCCTGGTCGTACAGAATCCGAAGGGTGAACTTGCGGTGGTCATCATAGATCTTCTCTGTGCGTGTTACACGGTCAAAATCCAGAGACAGGAGATTTCGGTTGTGAACCTGGAGAAAGATTGGAAGGAGAGAGAACATTAATCTGGACCATGAGAACTTTGGTCTGATGGTCCACGTGGCTCTCAGCTCTGCTGGGAAGCTCTTGAGTAGAGGAGGGAGCACAGGTCCTGCGCAGCAACAGACATGGGTTTGAACCCTGGCTCTGTCATTCGTCAGCTCTGTGAAGTTTCCTCACCTGTAAAATGGGGACAATAATGCCAATTGCACAGGGCTGTTGTGAGGATGAAGACGATGCCTATGTTGCAAAATCAGTAGCTGTGACCAAAGAGGATCTGCATGTTTTCTAATGCGATTCTTCTAATGAGGACACATTTTAAAAGGCAGATCCTTCTTGACTCCCTGCTGAAAAGAGACCTACCAAGTGAGCCCAGCAAATAAACTGACCCGTCTGCTCTACACCAGACACCGAGGACACCAAAGCTCAGGGAGGTGAACGGATTCACCCTGGATCTCGTGGCTGGTGAGTGATGGAGTCTGGACTTGACTCTCACCCGTACAACGTGCCACCAAACACTCAGTGGTCCTCTGAGCAATTCTTGGCCTTCTGGGGGCTCTGGACTTCCCAGCCCCTCTGGGGTGTCCCCTGCCTTGCCACGACAATCAGGGCTTCTTGATTGCCAGAGTCAGTACCCGACATCTTCCCCGAGGTGCTGGGAGGCGGTGAGTGTTTGTCACTGGGGTGGCTCTTTTGGCTGTGGGCCGAATGGGGACACAGTCCTGGCTTTGAGGCACTTTGCTCCTGCCTTCAGGATCGGGAGTGCCTTGTATAAACTCCACCTGGGCTGCTAGGTCAGCACACACTTCAATTTCCTTTCAGAGTCAGAAGGACAGGGCTCCTACAGACATAGTGGTAAGTCAGGGTTTTTATATTTTAATAAAGAAATATACTTCAGGGGCCTGTTTCTGTATTTGGATTTGCCCTGTAGGCATTGGTGCTCCCTGAAACATTGCCAGGTATTCTGGAGCGAAAATACTGGTTCCCGCTAATTGGTGTCTGGCCTTATGGGACATTTGGGCACATTTTCTGTCTCTTCCACTAGTCATTGCTTAAGGTTGACAAGTAGTAAAGAAGACCCAAGAGGAAAGCAGATAATTAGGTCACGTGATGCAAAATGGCATGTGTGGACCGAGGCAATGAAAGGCCCTCTGGATCCCTGTGTGGTTAAAAAAATTGGGTCCAGGTCTAGGAATGAAGACCAGGATTCTAGCTGCAACTTTGTGACCAACTTTTCTATCAACCTTGGGCAAGTGCCATCCCCTCTCCGAGACTCAGTTTCTTACTCTGTATAACAACAGTTGTTGTGAAGGTTGAAGAAACTTCGTAAATCAGTGGAGTGTTAAGCACATGGAAGGTACTGAATAAATGGTTGGAATTATTTCCATTAAATGACAGCAAATGATCCTGGTCATATCCCAGGAAGGAGAGATGTGTGTGTCTCCCCCTTCTCCCATACAAATCCTAAGGCCTTGAAAATAAAGATTTATAATGACGATGCTGACTTTAGCTGTGAATGACCTGGTTATAATAAGGTTACCTTCCCTGGGGTAATCAGCCACAATTGCAGACGCAGAAACTGTGTGGCAGATGATTCCCATGAAAACTCAGAGGCGTTGGAGGCTGAAGCTATGTTATTCTCAGAGAGGGCACAGGAAGATACGGGGGCTGTGCCACCAACAATGACAGAGGCCTTTTTAAAGTATCTTTTGGAAGGTCTGCCTATGACTCCCCTCAGGGTGGTACCACCGAGCCAGCTGCCCCGCTTTATCCCTGGAGGATCTCTAGTGAAGGGGAGCTGTACCTTTTTTGGCAAAATTAATAAAATTAAACAGCTCACTGGGGAGCCACCTAATGCATTCTGTGCTCGGCAGGGGTGGCAGTGAGATTATTTCACCTCTTTATTAAAAAAGTTCCCAGTTGTATAAAAAATGAGCTCCATTATGGGGAGGCACACCCAGCTAACATTCTAATGCCACCTGCCACCACTGTGGGTGGCCATTTATTTGGGAGGACATGTGGATGTGGCCACCTGACTACAGCACCATCAATCTCAGGTTGGGAGAGGGACCAGTTAAAGCCTAGGAAACTTTTGGTCCAGTTCACACAGCAGAGAAGAAATCCTAATCATGCTTCTCGCTGCCATTTATTGAGCACCTGGAGTCTATTGGCGCTGGGCTAGGTGCGTTGAGTGTATTATCTTGTTTCTGCAGAGGCACCTGAGGCTCAGAGGAGCTGCTCAAGGCTCCACACGGCACAGGCGGGAATCAAACCCAGGTCAAACTTCCCACTGAGGACGCTGCCTCAGAGGCGCATGCAGGAGTCTCTGCAAATTCAGACGGGGGCTCAGTGAGGCCTCAGAGAACAAAGACAGCTAGGCCTTCCTCAGAGAGCTACTGCAAAGCTGTTTCCCAGAGTAGATAGTCGCTAGAGCTCTTGGCTGTTGAGGGAACAAATGAAGCCTGGTTTTGCCAGTTGTGTGATATTGGATAAGTCACTTAATGTTTCTGTAGCTGCTGTGGGCCTATTTTTCTAGTTTTTTTTTTTTTTTTTGAGACAGAGTCTTGCTTTGTTGCCCAGGCTGGAGTGCAGTGGTATGATCTCAGCTCACTGCAACCTCCGCCTCCTAGGTTCAAGCAATTCTCCTGCCTCAGCCTCCTGAGTAGCTGGGATTACTGGTGTCCATCACCATGCCCGGCTAATTTTTTGTATTTTTAGTAGAGATGGAGTTTCACCATGTTGGCCAGGCTGGTCTCGAACTCCTGACCTCAAACAATCTGCTCGCCTCAGCCTCCCAAAGTGCTGGGATTACAGGCATGAGCTGCTGTGCCTGGCCTGTTTTCTAGTCTTTACCAACACCTTGCTATGAGACTCTGGAAAAATCGTTTACCCTCTCTGGATCTCGGTTGTCTCATGTATAAAAGAGGGGCTTCAATGAACTTTCTTTGCTGAAGGGCAGGGGACTTAAGAGAGTCTGAGCTGTGTTGCTCTGAGGACACTTCTGGAATGTTAGGAACATGTAGCTCAGTTCTGTAGTTTGTTTCAGGTCAGCAGGTATCTCTTGAGCACCCGTGGTCTGCAAGGTGCTATGCGGAAAGCCACGGCTAGTTCATTAACTTTTCCTCTGTTCATCACCTGCCTTTCTCAAGGTGGCGGAAAAAGAAGCTGGGCACTCAGGCCCTGGCAGAGGCTGTATTCTACAGAAACATGGGATGTGAGGCAAACAAGGAGCTGGCTCAGGGCATCCACATATTCAAAAGCATTCTGAATGTAAGACCATGATACCAGTCCCAGCAGTGATGGCTCAGGAGAGGTCATTTTGGAGAATGTAGCTTAGGTTCTAAGTAGCTGAACTGAATTTTGGGACATGTTAGCAATAGTAATAGCAAAAATGGTAATAAATAATAGCAATAACAATAAGAGTAGCTATTATTGACCACTTGCTATGAGCCAGACTCTAAGACGCTTAATATATTACTTTTTTTTTTTTTTTTTTTTTGAGACAGAGTCTCGCTTTGTTGCCCAGGCTGGAGTGCAGTGGTGTGATCTTGGCTCACTGCAAGCTCCGCCTCCTGGGTTCACACCATTCTCCTGCGTCAGCCTCCCGAGTAGCTGGGACTACAGGTGCCCACCACCACGCCCGGCTGATTTTTTTGTATTTTTAGTAGAGACAGGGTTTCACCATGTTAGCCAGATGGTCTCGATCTCCTGACCTCGTGACCTGCCTGCCTCAGCCTCCCAAAGTGGTGGGATTACAGGCGTGAGCCACCACGCCTAGCTTTTTATATATTATTACTTCTAATTCTTGTAGCAACTTGTAAAATTGGTCTTGTCCTTCCCACTTTATAGATGATGAAATTGAGGCTCTAAGACTAGTGATCTGTCCAAGCTCACTCAGGGAATAATATAAGCTGGAAATTCAACTCAGACCCATCTACCACCAAAGCCAGTAGTCTTTCTACAAGTCAAAACTAAAAAGACATACAAGGGTCTCTGATCACACGTGGTTTCTGCTTTAGTTCCCCCCTTTTGCAGCTGAGTAAACTGAGGTCCCAGGGAATTTCCAGAACAGGGACCAGTTCTCCAGATTCACCCTTCTCCTTTCCCCTCAGGACACAGCCACCTCCAGAGGCCTCACTCACCCGCAGCCGGCGCCCGAAGACAGTGACCTGGCCCCGAGCCTGCTCCTTGCGCTGCCGCCACTCCACCAGGTTGAGGCCGTTGTCAATGGGCAGTGTGACATTCCTCTTGCCCACGGTGGGGTTGACAGTGCTAGCCAGCAAGTGGGGCTCGGTCTGCAGTGCCACCTCCATGCCGTTGGCCAGCAGCAGCCGCAGGGAGCCGTCGGCCCCAATGTAGTAGCTGTTCCGGACTTGGTCTGCAGGAGAGGACAGGCACAGACTGCTCAGAAGGATCGAAGGGGGAGGGAGGTGTGAGGACAGCAGAGGCAGTGGAGGGGACTTTAAAGGATGCTTTTCTTAACTGTAAAAGCAATATATCATTACTGAAGAAAACGAGGAAAATACATGGAGAAGACCATGCAGAATCTCAATATCCAAAGAAAACCATTGTAAATATTTTGCATATTTGTAGATTTTCGGATATTTCCAAATGCCCTTGCAGTTTAAAATAGGTAAGAGTTTTAAAATAGTTACAGAGTTTTTCACTGATCATTGTATTATATCATGTTCCTGAATATTTTTTCATAAACATTTTTCTTAGTGACCATAGAATATCCTACTGTATGAAAATAAGTTATTTAAGCAAGCCTCAAATAGATATTCAGTTTGATTCCAGTTTTTCAGAATTATAAGTACCACTGTATATATTTAGTTTAAACATCATTCTAAGTGAAATAGAAGTCAGATGTAAAAGGCTACATATTGTCTGACTCCACTTACATGAAATGTCCAGAATAGGCAAAACTCTCTAGAGACAGTGGTTGCCAAAGGCCGAGAGGCAAGAGGGAATGTGGAGCAGCTGCTAATGGGTATGGGATTTCTCTTTGGGGTGATAAACATGTTCCAGAATTGGATCATAGCGATGATCGCACAGCTTTATAAATTGTATGTTTTTAAAGAGTAAATTTCATGCTATGTGAATTATACCTCAAAAATACTTTTCAGATAAATCAATATCAATATCTTCATTTTAGATTTTCAAATCAAAATAGATTCCTAAAAGTAGGATTACTAGAGCAAAGGGTTGAATTTTTTTTTTTTTTCCTGGATACAGGGTCTTGCTCTGTTGCCCAGGCTATAGTGCAGTAGTACAATGTGATCACAGCTCACTGTAACCTCATACTCCTGGGTCCAAGCAGTCCTCCAACCTCAGCCTCCCAAGTAGCTAGGACTATAGGCAGGCATCACCACACCCAGCTAATTTTTAAAATATTTTGTAGAGACTAGGTTTCAATATTTGACCAGGCAGGCCTTGAACTCCTGGGCTGGAGCAATCCTTCCACCTTAGCCTCCAAAAGCATTGGGATTGTAAGTGTGAGCCACCATACCTGGCAGGTTGAACAGTTTTAAGGCTCTTGATACACTCTAAGGTAACAATGTTCTTTATAACAAGGTGAAAAATATAACTCTGACACTTAAACCACTGACAGAATGCCAAAAAAAAAAAAAAAAAAAAAACAAAAAGCAAAAAACATAAACACGTTTTAAATCATTGTCACGGGCATATGACCATGATTTAAGCATAGAAATGATTTGAAATTTTAAATTTGATTTAAAACATTTTAACTTAGATTTTTAACTAAACGAAAATTCTGGTGAAAGAAGTAGATTTCAGCTGTAAAATGCACACAGAGTTGCTTTCTATAGATGAAAATACTGCCTCTGGGTTTGCGCTGCACTCTCCTGTCTCTGGCCCTTCCCTGGCTGTTTCCTCTGCACTGCCCCCCTCTTCAGGAAGTGCTGGCTTAAGACTCCCTCCAGGCTCTGCTACAATGTCATCTCTTTCCAGAAGCTTCCCCTCTTCCACTGGCCAGAATACATGACTCCCTGTCCTGTATACCCCTCAGCCTCTCTATGGGCCTCCTCAGTGGTCTTGCAGCTGAGGGGTGTGGGAGTCACTGCTCCGTTAATGAACGAATTCTCCAATATTTGAGTGCGGGCCGTGAAAGGCACTATGGCACAAAGATTAAGAGCTTGGCTTTGGAGTCAGGCTACTTCGGCTCAGGTTCCAGCTCTGTGGCTGCCTTGCTGTAAGACCTTGGCCAAATTCTTAACCTTTCATGCCTCTGGTACTTCATCACTACACTGGGACAATAATTGTACCCTGCCTTGCAGGATGCTCTGAGGATTGAGTGAGATCATGAATATGAAGAGCTGAGAACTGTACTTGGCATATAGTGTTATGTAAATGTTAGCTGTCACTGGTTTTATGTGCCTGGCACTGTGCTAGTCACTGTCATGTGTGTCTCTTGTCTCTCCTCTATCTCCACCATCCCATTTCTCTCTCTCTCTCTCTCTCACACACACACACACACACACACACAGACACATCATGGTGAACTTCTCTAGTGCTGAACATGGTCCTGGATATAGGGCCCCTTGTCTTTAGATTGGCAGTTAAGAGAATAGGTTCTATAAAGCCTGTTTGTCTGGGTCCAAACACCCGATTAGGTGTGTGACTGCGGCAAGCTACTTAACCTCTGAGTGCCTCTCACTGCCTTCATTCAGAAAACGGAGACAACAATACTTACCTCCTAGGCATATGAGGTACTATATGAGGTACCTTATGAGGTACTGCTTAATGTAAAATGCTGAAAATATGCTTTGCAGTTAATGAGTGCTCCAAAAATGTTAGCTATCATCACTGTTAGGATTATACGTGCTCAGTAAATCTTTGCTGGACGAAACTAGTTATGTTCCAGGCTATGTCAAGCACTAAAGACACTTATTAAGCAATGGTTTTCATGGGAAACCCTCACTGAATCTTTTCCGCTAGAATGGCATCAAATAGGCACCCCTCTCTCTCACTCCCTCCTCTCTCCATCTTTCTCTATCACACATGCAAAATTCTAAAATCTGCCTCACACTTGCTATGCATTATTCACTGACAATCTATATTTTTCTGCCTTTGAACAGTGAAAAAGCCTGTGTCAATTTATCCTTTAAAGCTGCTCCTTGCTGAATCCACATATGTCCATTAATGGTGACTTGGAGGGAACAGCATCTGTAGAGGCCCATTTCAGATGATCCCATTTAATGTGGGCTGTGACTTCCCAAGGCCGCTGCTCATTAGCAGCTAGTTCTTATTACTTCCCACAGTTTAAACAGAAGATGAAACCGAAAGAGCTTTCACAAAGACTCTAGTGAGGCAGCTGCAAAACTGAGCATCTGAGCCTGGTACTCAAGAAGGAAAGAGCTTGGCAGAGCTACCAAAGAGGAAAAACAGGTACCATGTTTCCCGGATTCCAAGAAGTGCTTTTTCTTTTCACATTTTAATGTTTTTTGAAGTTGGAATGTGTCCATGTATGCCTTTTGAGCAGTGTGACTTTTTTCCCTCTGCCTAAAAAGTTGTTATTAAATTGATGGTACATTTTAAAACTGAGGAATGTGGCACTTTCAAATTTTAAAAAGTCGCCCAAATATAAGAAAGCCCACGTGAACCTTTGAGAAAAATACTCACAGCCCGTTGAGCAGTATGGAATGGATGGATAATTCTTAATCACAGGGAAGAAGACAGGCCTGAAGGACAAGACATCTGAGTAACTGGTGGTCCTGCAGTCCTTGGTCAGGCAAGATCTTGGCTGCCTCAGAAGTTGTACCTTTGCTTGGCAATCATCCAGTCAGAGCAGAAATGCCTGGGGTCTGTCTCAACCCACTTGTGACATTATGATTATATATTCATGGTTCCCAGCTCATAACTCCTATACTCCTTGTTATAGTCTTTTGTTCTAATGTTGAGGCACTTCAGACTCAAAAGCAGACCTTACGAAACAATCTCTGCCTCTCTCTCTGACTTTCTCCTGCCCTCCTCTCCAAGGCAGAACTCGAATCTGACTGTGGGTCATAAGACCTACATTTCAGAGGCCATCCTGCTGCATACCCTGGAGGAAGGAATGAGTGCTGCACAGAGAGGCCAAGAAGAATCCGAAGAGACGGGCCTTGCTGGGTTTAGATCTTACCATTTTTGTCCAGTCACATTTCTACATGGTTGTCAACTATGCCTTTCCAATGAAGCCTCCGTAAAAGGCCCAAGAAGACAGGGTTTGGGGAACTGAACATATGGAGGTCCCTGGAGGGGTGAGGGTGATGTACCTGGGGAGGGTGTGAAAGCTCCATGCCTCTTACCCTACATCTTGGCATACACATCTCTTCATCTATATCCTTTATGATCAACTGGTAAATATAAGTATTTCTCTAGTTCTGTGAGCTGTTCCAGTAAATTAACTACACCCAAAGAAGCAGTCAAGGAAACCTCAACTAGAAGCCAGTCAGATAGAAGTTCCAGAGGCCCAGATTCGTGACTGGTATCTGAAGTATGGTGGATGGCGGGGCAGTTTTGGGGACTGAGCCCTCAATCTGAGGGATGTGAGGCTATCTCCAGGTAGATAGTGCTGGAATTGAGTTGGGGGACACCCAGCTGGTGTCCACTGCAGAGCTGATTCCTTGCTTGATGGTGGGGAGAACCCCACCTCTGCCTATATTTGGTCACAGAAGTCTTCTGTTGATGACTATTGTGTGAGAACAAACGAAAACACTGAGTTTTCCTCAAAAACCATGGTTACAGGTGCTTTGTGAGGAAGAAATTCCAGTGTGTGGTTTCTCTTTGTTTGAGAACCTTTATTGTTCTTGGAGCTCTTTGAAAGGCAAAGGACTAAATTTGGGAATAAAAGTGGTTGTAAGAATATACATTTATTTTCTTATGGTAAGTTAAACTGCTTGCTAATTAATTAATTAATTAATCTAATAGAATTGCTTATCGAGTAATACTATGTGCTTGGCTCATGCTAGTCACTACATTGTCTAAAGAGATCGACTGAGCAGCCCTGTGGGGCAGGTGTTAAAATTCAGCCCCATTTCCCAGCCCCAGAGACCAAGGCTCAGAGAAGAAGAGTGACTTCAGCCAGTTCACAGAGGTGGGAACTGGCACCCACCCAGAACCCCTGCTCCTCTCACCGCTTCACCCCATTCCACACAGCTTCAGCTTGCTTTCTTTTTCTGGAGAAGAAACCAAGGGTCTGTTGGTGATGTGGTGGCAGAGTCAGAACTAGAACTTGGGCCTCTGACTCTTAGCCTGAGGCTCCTTTCACTGCTTCGTGTGAAAGTCTTTGGAAGTACAAAGAGCCATCCATAGAGCAGGAAAAAATCAGGCAGAGCTTTCCCTGGTGATGGCTTCTTTCTTTTCAAGTTTACTAAATCCCACAAAGCTGCAAGCCCGCCTGGGTCACCACATCCCACGAGAACAATTGAGGCAGATAATTAACAGCAAGATTTCATCCTTGTGAAATCTTTTTACTTGAAGCTAAAAGATCAACCCATAACAGGATGATGTGACAAATGCAGAGAAGGGTCTCTTTTCTATGAAATCCTAAAAGAGGCACAAACCTTCTCACCTGGGCTTCAGGAAGGACTTCTCCGTAATCACATCCCTTTCATAATTACGTGTAATTATTCTTGTCCTTTGTCCTCACCTACACCAGTGTGAGTGTGTCTGTTAATCTGGGAGTCATTAGGATGGCAGAATAGTGAGGTCGCCTAGATTAGCAGCTAGTGAATTCACTGCCCTTTGTTCTGATAACAGAATAGGACAATAAAATATTATTCTGAAGCTTCTGAGAGATAATTTACTTGACTCAGGCTGGTATATTTTGTAAATTAGGTGATAATACAGAGAGTTGCAATGCTTTCCTGTTCTTGGACAGCTCCAGCAGCAGCCTATTTCTTGTGCCATCCTCCTCCAAAGGGGTCTTCCCACCCCTCTGCCTTAAAGTCCCCTGGCCCCCACCTGACTTACCTTGCAGCAGTGTGTAGAAGGCACCTGAGGCAGACAGGTTGGTGGTTATGGTGACATCATCCTTGCTGGAGGTCTCTACCTGGACATGCACTGAACTGTCTGTATCACTTCGGAAACTGCTCACCTGGCCAGTAGGGAAGGTCACATTTGTCAGGCGGCCAAAGCTGTCATACCTGGAAACCAAGGGGTGGAACTGAGTTGTAGAAATATAATGGTGCTTTAGTTGGAACTTGGCATATTCTATCTCATGCCATGGTTTTGCTGTGCTCTGCTTTTCTTTCTGGCTGGATACATTCCCATGTCTCCCACATCTCTTGCATGGGACCTGGTACACAGATTTCAGGATGTGACTCCACCTGCTGACATCCAGCTGCAGGAAAATGACTGACGTCTCTGAGTCTCCCTTCCCTAACCCAGTGGGGATGACACCACTGACCAGCCTACTGCCCAGGAGTACAGCTATAAACTAGAATTCAATTGTGAAGGGGCGAGATGATGGTGGCCATAATGAGACAGCTGACCTGGAATTTTAGAAATGGGGGACTCCCCAGAAATGATGTAGTCAAGCTTGATGCCTGAATACCCTCTGCAAAACCCGCAAGAACTGGTTATACAGGTTTTTCCTGAAAAAACACTAGAAATGGGAGCTATTACCCAGGGGTTTCCTAGGTTTCTACACATCCTGGGAAAAGGGGGTTCTGAATTCAAACCAGGACTCAGCCTAGATAAATGGTCTCTTGCCTGTTGCAACCCCTTCCATCTAGATTTTACATCTGGCACTAAGCATTTTTGTATCTGCAACTCTTAGAACTCCATAGCTTTGCTCAGGTATGGTCTTTCTAAAGCATCATAATTGAATCTTAATTCTCTTTACTATTCTCCTGATAATAATAAAAGAAATACCTACCATCATTGAACACCTCCAATATACGAGGCATGGTGCTGGTGGCTTTTCATGCATTTTCATGTAATCCTCATTTAATACATTTTTCATGTAATCCTCATTTAATCCTAGTGTAAAAGGTATGTATTATCTCCTTTTTGGAGGATCAGAAATTGAGGCTTGGAAAAGTGAAGTCACCTGCTCAAGGTCACACAGCTAATTAAGTGTGGGTGGAATCAAAATTCAAACTCAGATCTGTGTGCTTCCAAACTGCCACCTACCTGCCTCTGTGTCTTCAATGAACATTTCTGTACCATCCATTTGCAATTATTCATCACATGTGCTCCTCCCTGGCAGGAGTGGGCTATTAACATTTTAATTATTGTTTTTAATTAGAGGAGGCTGAAGTGTAAAATGGCAGGCTTAAATAGCCTTTTTGCACTTGTGTGTGAATAGGGACATAGTTCTTCCTCTACATGGCAATATTCCTGACTGACTTCCTGGACATGGTTGCCCCTGTGTACTTTGGGTCTCCCTACTGGCTTTTTTTTTTTTTTTTTTTAACTGTTTTGTTTTTACTTCTGGGGTAAAGCTGACCCCCAGGTTCCTGTGACGGTTTTCACAATGGGGCAATGAAAGTTCAGAGAGTTCAGCTCTGTCCAGGCTCTTTCTTCAGCTGGGCCTGGCTTCTTGCTGAGATTCCTGGGTCTGCAGCTCCTATGGTATCATAGGTGGGTGGTAATGGTATCATTGGTGGGTGAGATTAGGCAGGTCTTTGCTCAGGAATTCTCTGCCCAAGGTCAGACTTGGGTGCTGCACTACAGACTCTGCCATTTGCCAACTGTTCCCGTGCCTGTGCCTGGCACAGATCACAGCACTCTACACTGAATCCAATAGTCCCTGGCACACTCTGCCACAGAGGAGGCATCGGTAGAGGTCTTCTGAATAAATCACCCCTATTTTTGGCCTAAGACCAATTCTGGGGGAGGGGCCGGTGGCCTTTGGGGAAGTTGGACGCCTCTGGGGCTGGGGCCTTTTCAGGATGGCAGGCAGTGCTGTGGCCTCGACTACACTCCCTGGGCAGGGCTGCAGGCAAGGCTGTGGCTCTATCAGAGGCTCTCCTGTGGGTGGTTGGGGGCTTCAAAAACCCATGTCCTGCCATGATTTCTCCTTTCTCTTCCTTAGTACTGAGTTAGGTTCTTCCAGGAAAAGGTCAGTCTGGCCTAGGGGAGGCTGAAACCTGGACTGGATGGTCAAAGGGGTGCACTGTCCCACAGAGCTCAGTGAGCAAGAGTTCTGAGAGACGGCGGCTAAGAAGGAGGGTGTCTTGCGGTAAAGATCTGAGATGCATGTCCGAAGACTTCTCTCATGTGGAGACCCTCTCAGAGCTCTGCTCCTTTCAACACTGAGAGAGGCTGGGATTCTTTTTAACCATTTGTGGCCACTGGAAATTTGAATAGGAAGGAAACATACAAAAATATTGACAGTGGTTATCTCTGGGAGGTAGAATTACAGGTGATTTGAATTGCTTATTTACATATATTTCCATGATTTTAAAATAATAAACATGGATTATTTTCATAATCAGAAAAGTGTTGTGACAAGCCAGGTAAAACCACATGTGAGAGCTCATGAGCATGGCCATCTGGGGAGGCAGATGCCTTAAATTCCAGGCTGTGCAGAGACAGGACAGTCTCACTTATAGGGCAAGTTGAAGATAACAATTTCCAGAACTTTTCAGCAAAATATTACTGGGATACTCCAAGTTTTTTAGCTAAAAATCAAGACCCCCAAAACTGGTTTTGCCCTGGTCAACTTAACTGTATCTGTGATTCATGATTAAGCTGGATCCAGTCAGATCCTGAGTCATCTTTTAATCAACAGGAAGACTCATTTCAGTCCAGCGGTTTAATGGGATGGGATGCTGTTCTAGGCTGATTCTTTGAACGCCTGTAATCCCTGTACATACTCTTTATTAAAATAAGACTATTCACTCGGACTGTCTACTTTCCTGACCTAACTGCATAAAAAAGATTTTATTATACCATGCAAGACACTGCAAAGGCAGCTGTGGAGTTTTACAGATAAGAATTGATAGATTGTTAATTGGGGTCAGATGTCACTTTGACACTACTTCTACCACAGCCTCGCTCAAATGCCACCTCCTAAAGCCCTCCCTGGTTTTTCCTGTTCCTTCTCCCAGTATATCCTGTGCACAGCTCTATCCTAGAATGCCTCCCCTGCACCGCAGTGTTGATGTACAAGTTGTCCCCCTCTTTGGATTGTGAGTGCTTGAGGTCAGAACAGGTCTGTGGAGTCAGTGGACTGACACCGTCTGGGTTCTGCCACCTGCCAGCAGCGTGACCCTGGAGGACTGGCTCTCAGTTCATCTCTGCTTCACAAGCATTGGAACTGGCATAGAGAGGAAAGGCAGGGAATGTTGGCTGAACGAATCAGTGAATGCAGGATTGGATGTGCAAGGCCTCTTTCCTGCTTTGTGGGAGAGGAGACACCATGATTCATTCACACATTCCCTCCTACAGGACTTGGCACAAGCTGGACACACAGTAGGTACATGATAAACACTTGCTGAATGCCAAAATATGGAAACAACAACTCTTACTAAATAACACTTTGGCAATCTCCCTGGGTATCTCCCCAGAGTTTTAGTCTTGAAGACAGAAAGAGGCTTTGTATAAAGGCAGACAACTGCAATTATTATTGAAGGTAGTTTGTAAGGCATAATTAAATTGAGCCTAAAGAAGATACAATGAAGAGGCCCCATGCCTTTAAGATCTGGTTTTCATTTTATATAAGATGGTCAAAAAACCCAGTAATTTCCACTCTTCACATTTTCCATTAGGACTGAATGTCTTAATTAAATGAACATCAAATAGAGCAACCAATTTATAAAATTTTCTTGTCTCCTCTTCATTCATTTTAGTACCTTCCAGAGCTTGGGAAATGACCTGGATCTCTTTGCTGCTTGATCGATACCTGTAATTATCCCACCAGAACTGCTCCTTCTGACTGTGGATGGGAAGAGGTAGGGTTGCCAGTCCGCTGGGCCCTGCACACCTTTGACCTGTGAGCCATGTCTACAGAACCCTTTCTTCTCCACCACAGAGCTGCCACGACTCTGCCACAGAGCTGCCACAGTGCAGGGACCTGGGAGGAAGGGGCAGTTCTCTGAACTCTCTGGGCTCCAAGTGGCTGCCTCAAGTCCCGGCCCCATGATTGGGTGGCATCTGGACAATGGCTTAGTTACATTTGTTACAGCTTTCATTATGGGAACCCACAAAGTACTGGCAAATTTTCTTTCTTTCTAACCAAGAGGAATGAAGGGAATAGTTTTTAAAAAAGGTCTCTGGAGCCAGATGGTCTAGGCTTTGAATCCTGGCTCTACACTTGCCAGTAATGTGATCTAGAGGATGGGCACTTGGCTCTGTGTTCCTCCTAACCATCAAGTCTCCACTACAAATGATACAATTTCAGGCAGGCTATATCATATAACTTCAGTGAGCCTCTGTTTTCCCTTCTATAAATGGGGATAATAATCCTGTTTTATAGAGACACACAAAGACCAAAAGAGGTAACGTATTTAAAATGAAAGGGAAACTTCTTCCCAGGACCCCCAGGACCCCAGGAGATTGCCCTCAGTGGAATGTCAACTCCCTGAGGGCAGGGACTTCATTTGGACCCTGCTGTATCCCCGTGGCATATAGCATGTGCTTCCTGATGGTCAATGAACGTTGGCTGAATGTTGGCTCCTTCCTGCCTTTCTTTCTGACTTCACCTGGAACGTCACTCCTCAGCAGGTCCTTCTTCTCCCTGTATCTGCTTCTGGTCCCCAAACATGCCAAAGTCAGTGCATGCTGGGGTGCTCATGCTTCCTGTTCCCTTTGCAGGAACGCTCTTCCCTCCGGTGTTGGTATGGCTCGTTCCGGTCATCATTCATGTTTCAGATCAACCGTTATCACTTCAGTGAGGTCTTCCTTGACCACTGCTTCTAAGACAGATAAGTCCCCCAACCTCTGTATCATATTTTCTTATTGACCTCACTATGCTTATTTATTTGTTCTTTGTTGTCTGTCTCCTCCTAATATAAGCTCCATGAGGATAGGGACCTTGTCTGTATTCTTAGTGCCCAGAGGAGTACCCAGCATGTCGACAGTACTCAGTACATGTTTACTTAATGAATAAATATATAAGTAAATAACAGATATTATTGTTGATTCAAGACATGGACTGACAGCAACTAAGAACTTCATTTGTTTTACCTTTCCTTGT